ACCACCATAGGACTCATTTTTAAACTGGAGCTTCTGAAGACACGTGTAGACATGTGATTTCTTTCAAGACAGCACGGGTTTAAACCTGTTATAAACCTTAAACTGCTGCTAAGCTAGTGACAGAGCAACGGGGCCCCTCAGAGTTTTAGCACCACAACGCAATCATGCTAATTATAGTATTGCTCTGCCACCCATTATATTGTCCTATAGCACACAACACTCACTCTAAGTAGACTGATGCAACACACACGTTTTTTAAAATACAATTTGACCCAGGTCTGATATAAGCAAACCCTTTTTACTTAAAATGTTGTTGTTGATATTGTTATTTATTAAACACTTCCAGACATGCACTGTGTGTTTTACGAGGTTTATTGTCTGGATGGTAAGCCTGTTGTTCCTCCAGCAAAGACTGAGCAACCCCCTTGACACGAAGATAAATTTCATTTTTTGGCCCTGATGGAAAACTGAACAGAAACCCCATATGGCTTCATTTTACAGCCAGTAATTTGGTGTTTTTTCAGGATTGCTTTGTGTTTTTCTCCTGCTCTCCTTTCTGCAGTAGATATGAAACAAAAAGGGAAAAAGACATAAACATAACTAAGATTGCCTGTGATTCATCAGGCTAACTCTGGCTGATAATATCATGGCTTGCCATTTTCTCTGTTTTGGCAGTGACATTTCAGTGTCGTCAGAACACAAAAAGTTGTACTGGAGGCATAAAGTCGGTATCAGTAGTGGGTTTTTTTAAGGCTCACAGCCCGATTTTGTATCTCAGCTGACATTTCAGATGTCTGATGTGAGTTCAGAGAGCTTGGAGGTAAAGTGGAAACAGAAACAAAAAGGCTCCTTGAGATTATGTTTCTGGAAAACTAGACTTTTAAGGGAATTATTTCCATTTGAGCAGTCTACCTGTCAACTGGATACGATTTGACTTTATTTTTATTTGATAGACGCAGTTTAACCAGAGAGCTTGAAACTGATGTGCTGCACAGAGTTTTATAGTTATTGCTAAATTTCAACTCTTATCCCCAGTTGGGATTTTACATGTGCAGTGGAATTAAAATATAAATCTTTCAGCATCATAAACCACAATACACTACAGACACAGAAATGCAATAAAACACACATACCAAAAATACACCACTGCAATCGTTAATTTAGAGAACAATTAGCTAAAAATAGGTAAAAGATTTTATATGTGGAATTAATTTGATTTTGTGTTTCAGAGATAAAAGCCCTTTATGGAGGAAACTTATTGTCTAAATTTAGATCTATAGGTAGCTGTTTACAATTGCTCCTCGGCTGTTGATACATTTGAAAACTAATTCGACAAAACACAAATTATTTAATACTATTTATTAAATGTATTATTTTTGTCCATTATTTCCAGTGCTTGATATAAGTATGTGAGTAGGGTGACCAGGTGTCCCACTCTGTGTTGGACTTTTATCCCTTGTCCCACACATTGACACAATGTCCCACACAGTGACTAAAGTGGACCAAAAAAGGTGCCAGTACCTGACTCCACACAACCCTAACCCTAAACACAACATAACCCGAATACATACATTTTTGATCCTTTTTAACAAGGACAATTTCAATACTTTTTTCTTTTTCCATTTTTTTTCAGGACAGACACTTTTTGAAACTCTGGCTTTTATGTAATGGCGGTGAAGAAAGCTGTGTTTGATGTCAATCACACTGTGCAAACATGGTTGAAGTGCAGGTTAACCTGTCTACATCTTTGGAATGTTATGCCCAAGGGGGAAAACTGAGAGTCACCACAAAGTATCACAAACGATGCAGATTTAGACAGAATATGATGAAAACTACCACAAAGAAAAGGACTGGGAAACTACTTATAACTAGACACTGTATTTAGTGTGGAAGTTGGGAAAGTTGCATTAAAATAAAATATATTTTAGTCCTTCGCATGCTAAAGGCCTAACCTGTAACCTAAATTGTCTATTGTCTGCTACTGAACCAGAAGGTAAAGCTTAGAGATGTTACGAGCCAAGGACCTACATAGAAATGTTTAAGACATTATATCAACATTTTAAACTCCCTCTCAGCATTGGCAACATATTGTCCCACACAAACATACACTTTGTCCCACATTTGGATCTGGTCAACCTATAGCCAATGTGAGGTGTGTGGTTGTAGATAATATTCAGAATGAAAAAAAATCCAAGAGTACATAAATAACTGGACTGCCTGAGTGTGTATGTAGTTCCCAATTAATTTTAAACACTTAATTAAATTTGAGTTGTGGGTCTTAAATTATTCCTAAGCATCACTGACGTCATCTATTAGTCAAAGGCAATTTGTTTACTGCTGTCTTGTTTACCCCAAACTCAGGCAACTCCAAAGCACTGCTTCCAAATGCAATGCAACACTGCCCTCTAGAGGCCACAGGCTGGAGCATGCCCTGAAATAAACCGCAGCTTGGAGGTAGAAGAGACAATTACATGTGAACAAAACCACTTTAAAACATACATCATATATTTAAGTATGTGTTTTCATAGCTTTATATTTATCACAGGAAGAAAGCAGGTAGGTTTGACTTTATATTTTAGTTTTATGTGATCTGCTATATATGAAAAAAATTATATTTTTATATAGGTTTGGCAACACGTAAGAAGGAAACTTATGTCAAGGCATAAAATGGAATTAATGACATTTGGGAAAAAGTGACAATAACACCAGATAAGTGAGATCAGATCATCTTCCTTCATATAAATCAGTTGAAACAAACAAAACAAACCTAACAGAAACAAAGTGTATCTGAACTTCTGAGTCTGTCCACTAGATGGAGACATTGACATGACCCAAGTCCCACAATACCTCAGTGTTTGTAGTCCTGGTCCTGTTCTCAGATGTTCACTGTCAACTGAAGAGAAATGTATTAATATTTCATGATAGTCTACCTCAATGATTTTAAACTTTTCTATTTAATATTTAAAGGCAATTATTTATAATTAACTGATCACCATAGTCGGTCTCCATAAAAGTATTCAATTCAAAAAAGATATTTGGTGTCACCAGATTGTCTGTTTCTTCACCTCTGATGAGTCTTGGATCATAAGGATGACTCATGTGTGCACCATATGGAGATCAGGTTACATTATTACCCCAGATTTACATATCAAGCACAGAAGAGGAGGACGAGGAGGGCGAGGAAGGGCGGCTGTGGAAGGATAATGGGATTTTGATTCCATTATACCCCGAGGATATGGTTTCAGTTTGGGGGTACTTCTTCCACTGTGATAATTACAGCTCTGAATTCATGACAGGATTGGAGGACCAAACTGATATTACGTTAACATTGATGCACTTCAGTGATCTTATTCAGGCTTACCTGGAAACTATTAATCATTTGTAATTCAAACTGTGCTCATTAATGTTTAACTATCTATCTATCTATCTATCTATCTATCTATCTATCTATCTATCTATCTATCTATCTATCTATCTATCTATCTATCTATCTATCTATCTATCTATCTGTCTATCTGTCTATCTGTCTATCCATCTGTCTGAACAACGCCATCAGTGTCATAAATGGATCCTTTTTTGCTGACTCTCTTGCTGTATAGTTGTCATCTGATGAACAGAGGAGGTAGGCAGTGATGTGATGTGTCTCATGATCCACCCGGACTGATCCTCACTGATACTCTGGCAGACAAACAGGGGGTCGCTGTTTCCCTCCCACATCAGCGCGGCAAACAAAGGCAGCACAAACATGAGAAGCTTGACTGTGAGAGAGGGTGAACCCGAGCTGACCCCCCTACGGCCCGTAGAGAAGACACAGAAGAGCTTTGGTGACGCTCCATATGCGGTCTTCATTCACAGGAACGGGCCTTGCATTCAGTGTAGTACAATTTGTGTATTAATGCATATAGGACTACAAAAGCAAGTAGGAATACATTTTCACTGTGACATGTAATGTGTAATGATTTTTTAGCAACCTGTGGGGATTTTATATTCTACAGTTTAAAGCTTACACCCTTATTTTTAGACTTAGTATATTTTATTTCTGTATAGCCTACTGTATTCAGTTTTAGGCCAAAAGAAAACCACTCCTGGACTCTACAGAGCCCCTGAAGTTCTGAAAGATTATACTTTTCATCCTGTGCACACAAATAACTCATCCAAGATCCAAAACATAATCAATTTAAAATATTCAAAATATTATGTTTGCATAGCATTTATTAAAGAGTAAAGAAGGCTTTGAAAGTAAAGACAATATAATTAAACAGTTAACTAGACATCAGGACTTCAGTATGTCTAAAATCTTGGCTAAGGCCCAAGTACTATTTCTTGTAACTGTGTTAGTCAGAGACTTATCTCAGATCACTGTGTTTAAAGTGCATACTGTACACACATTCCCATATTTCCATAATAAACACTGATATCAGAGGATAATATGCAGGTTTAAACATGTTTCTGTGAGAAACTTCTGATGTAAAAGTGCAGGTAAAATAAGTGAAAGTGAAAATGTAATTTGACTCCCACCAGCTACTGTGAAGATGTGTATAGATTGTGTTGCCCAGTCCTGTAGTGGCTCTGTGGGATTCTGGTGCGGACACCTTAAATTCAGTATATTTACTCAAAAATAGCACAGGGACTGCAAACAGATGGCAGTTTTCTACAGCACTTTCACATCTCACACCCACACAGATCGTTATATAATGTGATATTTAGTCATATCTACAAACAAATTTCCTTTACAAATGAGGTTTACTGGACAAAAAGCGATTAAATGATTAAACTGCTCTTTCTTTGGGAATTTTATCTTTGAGATAACATTTATGCACAGTGCTAAATGCAAAGCAAGTCACAATGCACACTGCCTGAGATACATCTATTCCTGATGTTGTTGGGGTGACATCCTGGAGTCTCCCTCAGGGGGTCCCAGATCGTCCCTGAAGCCCATCTTGGTACCTCAGCGCACATGCACACGCGGGATGGGCGGCGCAAGGCAGCGTGCAGCAGCCCAGCCTTGTGCAGCTTGTGCGCATGTTTGGATGGTGTATCGCCGCGGTGCAGGTCATCATTATTACATGGTTCATGTCCAACTGGAAGGAGCCAGGATTTGCAAAATAACATCATTTAGATCGGAGATATCGACAAATCAGGTGCCATCATGAGCAAAGTGCAGGGTGGGATGAAATGCGTGAAATATCTGCTTTTCATTTTCAACTTCATCTTCTGGGTAAGTCCGCTTCACAAACGGTGTGCATGGAAACAACGATATTGCTATTTTTAAAACCACCATAATGCTTTGAACGGCCTGGTCATATTTATTTTAAATTTTTTATGTTAGAGAAGCCGATGCATGTTTGATTTATTTATTATTATCGGGCTTTGTTTGCATGTGGGAAAGCTGTTAGTACTCCGCGTTATTATAGTGTTTACATGTTCAACACGCTGCAGGATTACAGGCTGTCTGTTGATATTGTTAGATGTGGTTTTAATTAACCTGGTTTCGTTATGCACCGGAGGAGACCCGGGGAGTTCATCTTGCAGATTGCCTCTATCCACCTGCACGGCGCAAACTACTCTCTTGACTCTTTAACTGTGTGTCTAAATTCTCACATCCATCCTGCATTATCAATCATCATCTTTCATTTAAATCCATCAGACAGCGCTAATGCCTCATTTCATGACAGGAGTCAACTTCAGAGAGGTGATGTTGACTCCTGCCCAGCTTTAACATGAGCTCACTTCAGAGTCTGTCAACCCTGGATCGGACTGCTGCATGTTCAAAAACATCCACCTGTCCCTTTATTTCAAAAGTGTTAGGTCCAGAGATTTTAGCCATAATAACTTTTTCCCTTCCAATTTTAAACATGCTATTTACTGCTTTTCAAAGAAGCCCTCTCTTGATCTCTCTGTTTAAGTAATTTTATATCTGCAAGCTGCCATTTTTATTGAAGATTTTAGAGAAATTGTCTTCACTCAAATTATTAAATATATATATATTTATTTATTATTTTTAATGAATAACAATCAAATATTTGAAAAATATCAATCTGGTTTTCGCTCCCTAAACAGCACCAGGTCAACAACGACCTACTGTTTGCAGCCACACTGGCCTATACTCCCTCTTTATTTCTCCATGACCGTAGCTCAACACAGCAACTATGTTGGCATCAGTGATGTGGCCCTGGATTGGTCAATTTCCTGTCTGTTGAACAGGTCCTTCCCTCTGATGTTTGGAGATGCCTCCTCCTCTCGTGCTCCTCTATTTTGTGGCGTTCCCCAAGGATCTATTCTGGGTCCCTTTTTGTTACATGCCAAATCATGGGTAGAGGTCACATTGCATTTCATTGCTACATGGATGACACCCAATTGTATGTCAAGATAAAGACTGGTGCTACACATCCTGCATTATGTCCTGCTTTGTTAAAATAAAGAATTAGATGTCCAAAAAGGTCCTACAATTAAATGACTTCAAATTAGATTTAATTATAAATATCCCATATCCCCTGTACTAGCAGAATAGACAAACTCTCCTCTAGTCTGGGTGTCTTATCTAGTAATAAATAATACATGTAATATTAAATATCTAATACCCGTAACCTAGGTGTTATTTTTGATTCAGAATTGTCCTTTGATGCTCAGGTGAATAAAGTGGTGCAGTCCTGCTTTGCTCAACTGAGACAGCTAACCAAGATCAGGTCATTGATTTCTCTGCAGACTTATTGGTCATCCATGCTTCGTTCTCTACCAGAATTAACTATTGCAGTGAACTCTGGTCAGCAGCCGTAACATCCGAAGACTGCAGTTGATACAAAACGCTGTTGCCTGGCTTTCAACACGTACTGAGACAGGGGTTCCCAAGCTTTTTCATGTTAAGGACCCCCGCAATAGATACACATTAGACCATGGACCCCAATTTTAGAGGAGTCTTAAAGAATCCCCTTTATGTATTTGTATAGTTTTTATAGTCAATCAATGATCAAAACCTATAAATTATAATTATTCAAAACAGTCAAAGCATATTTCTTCCTTTGTTCCAACTTTTTCCTTTGGTTGGGGACCCCCTACAATCTACTCAAGGACCTCTGTTTGTCCCTGGACCCCAGTTTGAAAACCACTGTACTAAGAGAAGTGACCAAATTACACCAATCCTTGCTGCACTTCACTGGTTACCTGTGATTTTACAGTTGATTTCAAGGATTTACTGCTTGTTTTTACCCCTGAACAGTCAGACTCCTTCCTATATCTGTGATTTGCTAACACCCTATGAGCCTATCCTCTTGCGGGGGCCCTAATGGTCCCAAAATCTCGATTTATCACCAAAGCTGAGCAGGTTTTTGCTGTGTGGGCACCTCAGCTGTGTAACTCACTGCCTGGAGATCTTAGGCAGGCAAACTCAGTACCTCCCTTAAATCTCTTCCTATGACTCACTTTTATCATACGACTTTTTCTTAACTGATTGTATTTGTTTGAACAGTGCTATATAAATGAACATACAGCTCTTAAAGTATCATCTCCGAAATGTTTTTACTAATTAATGAGTAAATCAAATGTGAGCCTGTAAGTCACTAACTCTTTTAACACTCATATGATTTATGTTGTAAGTAATGTACTGTGGTCGTCCTGCAGCGTGTTGCTACTTTTCCAACACAGCCACTGTTCAGAACCTCGTTAATGTTTTGGCATTGTGCTGTGACTTTCCTGTTGCAGGTCTGGGAACGTGTGGGTGTTTTACACACAGGGTTAATCTGTTTTGGGGACATCATGAAGGGCTTTGTTTTGGTCTGTTATGCTAAATTAGATCTGCTCAGATAAGGTTACCTGTGGCTCCGGCTACTGTGGATTCACTTTCGATTTTCTGTACAGTGACTTATCATCTGACATTATGTCAGGTCTCCTTATTATCCGTACAGATCATGGGAATACACACCAAGACTCCCAAAAGTTTTGGCCTGTGTAACCCCACCTAAAACAAAGCTACTGTGTGTCTACTTGTGATCCGCCCTCACAGGCTGTAGATGTATGCAACCTGTTCAACTAAAGCGTGAGAAAATGATTCATCCCAGGCCCAAAGAAGTTAAATAAAGAAAAAGTCTGATAAACTGAGAGATTTCTGTTGCAGAAATATATTCTACTGCTTTGCTGTTCATCTTATGACCCTTGTTCAGAAACCCATTGGGGTTCCACTATAGAGAACAACATCAGCGCCAAATAATGTTTTCATGTTCCCACTTCAGATTGCAAGATTTGCATGTCTTCAAATAACAGGTTTTGTCTGAAAAATAGTTAAAACCCTGAAGAGATTTGATTTATTAGCACTTAAGACAAATAATAGCAGCACATCCTCACAAATGACAGGCTGTAACTAGGCTATATTTGGCATTTTCCCTTTTAAAATGACAATAATTGATTACCACAATAGTTACAGATACATTTTTTTGATTAATTGACTATTGAAGACTTTTGCTGTTTTCATCACTGGAAGTTCACATGTTACTGCTAATTGATAGACTATATATGGTTTTAAAGGGCCGCATTGACTCATCTGTGCTCTGTAAGGCGATCACTTGTGTCACCAAAACCGACAGCGGCCTCTTTGTTTAGGAGTTTCAGGACTGAGAGCAGAGCTGTTGTGGTCGGAGCCAAAAGGGGCGTACAGTACGCTGTCATTTTGGGGTGCAGAGCCAAACAAGCAACCAATGCCAGTGTGAGTTACATCACCAAGGCACTGTGAGGCTGGCACAGCCTGTGGCTGAAATGCACCACGGGAGATGGACCATTAGTGTGATGCTGCCATTTAAATATGATATTTTGATGGTCCATATGGTAACATGAGCTGGTGTTACAAAGTGTCTCCAATCAGTTTTTCCTCCCAAATTAGTTCACTGGCAGCAGATATGTTCTGCCAAGAAAGGACATCAACAACTAAACAGACTGCTTTGATTACTGTGTTCCTCTCAGAATTTGAGTTCACTGTTAGAGGTTTAAACATGATGATGGTGATTTGTTCACCTGCAAGTTCATGATCGGATATTATATAAGATAAAGATAGAGAATATGGGTTGTAATTCTGTTTTCAACCTGTTAATTATTTGTTCACATTTGGATTTATTGTGTAAAACATTGTAAAACTTAACTTTATTATACATAACACTTGTGAGTTTATTGTGAGAATTATACTTTAGCAATATACACCTATACACATCTAGTATTAAACCCTTCATTTGTCTTTCTAAGAAATAAAACACTGGTTTTTAAAACCAGATAATATCAATTACTTGTATGTAGAAGGTCAGAAGGATTAACTTTCTCAGGGTGACACCTGGTTTCAATCGATTGGTCTATTTTTGGTCAAGCTTGCCCAGGGAGCAATGATGTCCTCTTAATGCTGTGACAAACCCGTCGGGCAAATCACACCTGATGCTCTGTTAGTTTCATCTTAGGCTATACTTCAATATATGACCATTAAAAACAAGATTATTGTAGGGAATCTTGTTTTAGAGAGTAATAAAGTTACTTAAAAATGTTCTTTTGGCTACACGTGCATCCTGTGAGTCTAAAACTGTTGGATTCTTTAGTCGCTCAAGAGGTAATGCATTAACATTTCTGGCAGAAGTTTGTTTAGAATAACCCTAAGAAAGATCGGGCAGAGAGCATCGAGAGCCACTTTACTGACAAGACAAAGACAAGAGTGCCACCTGCAGAATCTTAATCAACACCAGAGCCAAAAGGGGAAAAAAACACATGATGAGCCTCAAAGTTTAACTGTGAAGTTATTTCTGGGCAACTCACTGAAACATTGAGAGTTTATCACCAAAGACATCACTTTAAACCTAAAAACAGGAACCACATTTCAAGAAGGTTAAAAAAAATTGTGTTTTATTATGACATGAATATTGATTAAGTAATTTATCATCCCTCAGCTGTCAGGCCTGTTGGTGCTGGCCGTGGGACTTTGGCTCAGGTTTGACCCAGAAACAGTGGAGCTACTGACAGGCGATGGCGCCCCTGACACCTTCTTCATCGGTACGTCCAATCTCTACTCACACCTCCCTTTAGTTATACAGATCATAAAAATATGGTGCACGATTACAAAATGAAATGTTTCTTGTTATTTATTTAATTTTTTTGTGATAAACTGTTTGATTTTCTTGTGTTTCAAGTGTTTCAAGTGTTTCAGTGCCAGTTCTGTGTATATCCACCACTCGACAATACAACAGTGCAGATGTGGGCTGCAGCTATTTTTCATACAAGTAATGATATGACGAAGAGATCATTTGCATGTGGATTTTATCGGCCACAGAGCAGCTCACATTAGATTTCTATTTAACAATGTAAATGTTAATGTAAATTGAATTCTTCTCAATGCCAGAGGGTGGAAAACAACATTTTGACATCTTGATGTTAAAAGTTTCAAATGTTAGTCTGAGAAAGATGCTCATAAAAATAGATTTTGGTCCCAAAATCTGATTTTTCTGGAGATTAAGACACATTTCTGGGATGAAAATAAATCAAATTTAGGTCAAAAAACCAACAATTCTTTGTGTCCTCTTGAGAGTACACAGCGCAGTATCAGATTTTATGCTGGATGACATCAGGTTTTATGGTGCTCTGTAACAATCATTTAACAAACCCTTGTTAACTTCCCAGGGGATTCCCCACCAGCAGTTGAACTTTCAGGGGCCGCAGGTGTTACTGAGCAGTAATGAACGCTCAACTGGCACATTTTACTCTCAGTGCATTGTGATGTTTCATCACTTCCTGTGCACGACGTACCACAGAAACTCACTTTTCTGAGTGTCTTTAATCATCATTTATATCCTCACTTACTCTGCAAGTGACTTACAGTGGTACATACCGAGTGAAAGTGAAAGAGAAGCCTTGAATGATTATTAAGATGCACCATTAGTGCTCATGGTTGCAAATATTGATTTTGATTTTCCTTTCCAATGCAATAATATAATAGATATATATATATTTGCTGAAGTTCATTGCACTTTGTACACAGGGGCCTTTTGATTGATAATGAATGAAGAGCTCAACACACACAGTAGGTGATTAAAACGTACAGTAGACTAGACAAACAGCCTTCAGTGTGTAGTAGTGTTGCAAGATAAATACAATAGGCCCTCTCTCTCTCTCTCTCTCTCTCTCTCTCTCTCTCCTCTCTCTCTCTCTCTCTCTCTCTCTCTCCTTTGCTCTGCCAGCTAGGAGCAGATGATTAGAATGAAGCCTATTCTTGTGACTCCCGTTTAGACCATGACCTAAAATGGTGACTTCACTTCATCAGCTCTCTGCTGCACTTTCATGGAACTGGCTGCCTCCCTCAGGACACGAGTAGCAGGTTGGGTGGGGCAGGTAACCGGAGTTTATCCTGAAGACTCCTTTAGTGGCAGTCGTAATACTGTACCGTGCAGTGCGTTCTTGTAAAAAGAAACAAAAGAAGAAGCAATGTTTATAGAGTAACTTGTGCAAATGTGAGTACAAAGGCAAAGTCTGGACATTAACGCTGTGTCATACACAGCATATAAGATATTAGTCAAGATGTTATCGAGAATAAAATATATTTGTGTTCTCACAGTTGTCTGTTTATGCAAACTACTGCAGGTGAGATCATTTTTCTTCAGTTTGGTTTAATTTGACATGCAAATGAAACTAATCAGAGATCACAGAGCTCGTCCAACTGGTAACACACATTTTTAATGTCTATATTTGCTCAAGTATCTTACTGTACTTTACTGTACATATCAGTGGAAAATGGTGTACTTTTTACTTCACTTATCTCCAACTCAGCAGTTACTTTGAACATTTTTATATCAACTTAAAGCAATGTATCTTTTTATAGATTAAACTAGCCAACAGTATATAAAGCTGCCTGGATAATGCCCATCTTAACCAACTACAACATTACAGTGCTGCTCGCTCATTAATGCGTCAGTAATAATAATCAAGAAACATAATAAAAGCCTGAAAGGAGACAATCTGCAATGGCTACTTTAAGTGCATTTTATCTTAAGTAATACTTATAGCACTTATACTGTGAAAGTTTGAATGCAAAACTTAAACTCGTAATGGCGTATTTGTTCTTTGTTGTATTTGTGCTTTTACTTAAGAAAAAGGTCTGAATACTTCCTGGACAAGTATTGATCTGTACCAGAGCAGCACTTGTTGATAGGCAACAACAGGCTTGCAGAGTGCAAAGTTATCAATTTATCTAAATATCTGAAAGATCCTGCGGAGGATCGATCGTCTTACAGAGAAGCCTTAGCAACAAAATAAATATAATCACGAGCTTCTTGAGCAGACTGGTGGAGCGTTGCTTCCTACGTTCAACCCTAGCAAAGGGACTAAACAGAGTGTGATATCATAACAAGGCAAAGTGGCAGCATTCCCTATGGGTGAATCACTTTCCATTCTGTCACCTTTGTTGCTCTGTGCGCCAGCGTGTAAACAGCCATTATGTGCATATGCAAGATACAGACAGAGAGAAACTTAAGAGACTAAGATATGTTGACACTCGCTAATATGTGCTGCTACGAGGTACCTGCTGCAAGCATTGATAAGGAGGAAGTATAGTTGGCAGCTGTCTGCTGGATATCACCAGTTTCACAGAGAGGAAGTGCTACAGTAAAACAGTGCATATAAAGTCAGTGATGGAAAACATCAGCAGCCAAGATCAGGTCTGTGTCGACACTTTGTATATACAGTAGAAGCTGTTTTGGCCCATTACATTTTCCATCGCTAACTTGCTTTGAAGCAGAGTATCCGCCGCTTCCAGCAGTCTATTCGCCTTGTCTTTACCTCCCCTTTTGTTCAACAGCGGCAGCAAAACAACAGCTTGCCATCCCCCCATGTGGATTAATTAAATTGCTGCAATCGTTGCTGTCTGTGTCAGTGATTAGACCCTTAGCATGGACCTCCGGGACTGGTCCGGTGTATGGTTACAGTGTGAAGGGCTCAGTAGTGAGGGCTGGGAGCAGGGGAGTAAACTGAGGAGGTGACGACATCCAGGCTCGTAGGGAGCTGGGATGGTCGGGGATGTAAGTCTAATTCTGCAGCAATCAAACCCTTGAAAATTTGATTTGCCTTTTTACCGGACAGATGGCATCTGTTTTACTGCTTTACCCTGCAGGGCAGCGAATGCACAAAGTCTGAGTAATTGGAAATAGCACTAATGCATCAAAAGAGTAAGCCGGAAGCCTTGTTTCTCAGCAGACTCTACAACTCCGTCGGCTTTAATTTAAATTTCAGACATGTATAGATGGGTAGGGTTTCCAGCTATTTGCAGCTTGCCTGCAGCAGGACAGCATCTCGTTTTGTTTCGACACACTGACAGATGGCCGCTGAAGTTATTTATTTTCAGCAGTTTCTGGACTGTTTCAACAAGCACTGATCCATCGCCAATATTTTCCTGCACATTTCTAACTTCATGTATGTTATTTAGACATGATGTCCACCACACCAGTACACCGTTTATACACCAAGTTCTAATCTGACAAACTAAATGTACTCAGTGGCGGCAAACTGACAAAGAAGTACTATTTTAAGCAGAAAGCTAAAAGAGAAAAAGCGGCAGGAGTTTGTGTCAAAGATTCCCTTTGTGTTTAAACTCAGAGCTTTAAAATTCACAAGCGGCTGAATTGAAGGAGTAGGCTGATAATCAGAGTGAATTGTGGGAGGTGATTTAGAGGTTTTAGGCTACTCACAGAGTTTCCACCTACACTTTTTAGCTGGTAGTCAAACCCAACAACAGTCCTTTTTATAAATTCTGCTTCAACATAGACATGAGAGCAGTTGGATCATGCTGCCATCCTCAGACGAAGCTGTGAAGTGCAGTCCTGTGACAGAGCACTAGCACATGATTCTTGGCCTCTGTCTTTCTAGGCTATAATTGACAATATGATGAACATTACACGTTTGGTGGCTTGCTCATTTCTTTGATATTAATCTATCCGTCTTTTCTCTCCCCAGCTGTGTACATCCTTCTTGGTGCAGGAGGGTTGATGATGATCGTTGGGTTCTTTGGTTGTTTTGGGGCGGTTCGAGAGTCGCAGTGTCTTCTTGCATCGGTGGGTTAAAGTGCTGCTTTTTGTGGTGTTATTAATGCACTGCAATGTTATCTTTTGATGGTCCTTTACGTATATTTCAAAGATGTACTGTTTTATACTGAATGTGACATAGTCTGAATTTCTGATTGTAACAGGTCTGAAATCATTTCCTAGTAAGCTCCTTGGAAAGATCAATGAGCACTTTGGTACTAATTATGAGGGAAATATAGTTTAATTGGTATACTGTGAATTGATTAATTCCAATTAACTGCTAAAGTAACCAAGAGCTCTCTAGTCTTTTAATGCACAGCGGGTGAAATCAATGTGAAGTATGTCTGCAGAGTATAAAACTGAACAAATATGCAGAATAAAGTTTCTAATAATAAATTAATAATGGATGAATATTTGACTTCAGTTTAAAGGGAGCTTTTTTTTCTTTTAAGGACATTTATATTACCAAAACAAAAGTACCAAATTATATACTTCTTCTCAGAAAATTATTAGGAAATTGAAAAAACAAGGTTAAGAATACATTTTCAATCAAAGTGTTAGGAAATGACTGACCTGTAAAACTGAGTGTTACCTTCTTGGTCAATCATTGTCACCAATGTTTTTAATATGAAAGCTAGCTCACACTAGAAAGCAATAATAATAATAATAATAAGCGACTTCTCTGTTCTGCAGTTCTTTGCTTGCCTTCTGATAATCTTTGGAGCAGAGATTGCCGCTGGTGTGTTTGGATTCATAAACAAGGAACAGGTACAACATTTAAGTGATAAATGATTTAATGACATTGTAATATATCTTCTAAATGTACATTTACTTTTTGTTTTATCTTTGATCAATAATAGATCGTTGAGGAAGTCCAAAAGTTTTACAGTAGCTCCATCTCTGACCTCTCCAATTCCAACGCCACTGCGATTGCACTCATTTACCACAAAACTGTGAGTAAAGCTTTGCTTGTGTTCAGTGGTCTCCTTTATATTGTTGTCACAGTCGACCCCACCAGCCTCGCATTTTATTCATTCTACTTTTTAAATATACAGCTGAACTGCTGCGGAGGCTCCACATCAGACACGTCTAACACACTTTGTGCAGAGGCTCCAGAAGACACCCAGGTGAACCCTTGCGCCTGCTGTAACACTCTGTACCCACATGGTGGCAGTGTAGCGCTGTTTTAAGATCATGAAATCTGCTGCAATTTGGTGCTGGATCAGTCATGTGTCACTAATCCTTTTTTATGTTAAATAATTTGCAGCAGCACAGTACCGGTAATTAACAATATGAATGCTTTATTGTTGTTTTTAGGACTGTCTCACTGCAATAACCAACTTCTTCAATGAAAAGCTTCATATTATTGGATACATTGGGATTGGTGTCGCAGGAGTAATGGTGAGAATTCACAAAATGTAAACTTCATAAACCTAAAAACAGTGATTATTCTGTGTGGTGCTACTTTACACAAAGCTCCACAGATGTTTTAACGTGTCCCAAAATGTGTCTGATTTCAGATCATAGGAATGATCTTCAGTATGGTTCTGTGTTGTGCCATCAGGAACAACAGGGAGGTTATATAGATGGTGAGTTGACTCCCCCCCCACCCACCCCTTTCTCCTCCCTCACCCCCACCAGCCAGTGCAAAACACGTCCTCTGACCCCCTTCACAATCACCTGCATAAGAAGGGAAACACCAAAGTTACATTCCGATGTCATTTCTCGTAGTCCAGGGTGATCTGGTGGGGAGGTTCACTGAATAGCACAAACAGAGAGTACACTACGTCCCAGTTGTCCACGGGCCAATTTCAACACGATACGCTGGATCGTCGTCTTCACACCCTCTCCTCAACTCCACCAGCACTGAACATTTATTTCCTTCGTTCTTTTCCATAACACATGCTCCGCTTTTGGCACAACTCTGTGACATTCCTCGGTTTTAACGTGTTTTTGTTTCATTGCTGGCGCTCCACAGAGGTGCTGCACTGTAGCTGCAACATGAAGCCTTCTTTGACACGGGAATGTTGTTGAGTATTGCTGTAAATATGGACCCCTGTTTTATGCATCTGCTGTTAACATTATTTATCGTGCCCCTTCTAGCCCTTTTTGTGTAATTTATAGGCCTTATGCCAATCATACTTTGTGTGCTTGAATGTTTTGAGGACTAGTCTACCTTTGCAAAGTAAATTTCCAGGATGTGCCTATATTTAGTCACACAGACAAGCCTCCAGCTGCTGTGCTATTTATCCATTCTTTGTGATTTGAATATGTACATAATGACTGTGCTAGCTCCCAGCCAACACTCTCAAGTATTTCTACTGTAAAGCACAATAAAGGAAGTGTAGACGTGATATCAACCCAAAGGGTTACAAAAGGTCTGATGATAAACTGCCACTCTGTGAATCTCCAAATTCATCTAAAAGGTCATGAGTAACAATACGTCTTGGGCTCTTCTGGAGCGTGTGTGAACTGTAACAGTGAGCTAGTTTTTGCATTTTGTGTGAATTATTTTGGATGTAAATTTTGTTGGTGTGCCAATAAGATGTGAATTATAGAATAATATAGTTTCTGTCATACTGTTAACCATAATTAAAAAAAACAATACTGGGTGCTTTTATTGATGTGTGTTGGCTGCTTTTTGTTTCCCGCCTTCGAAGTGTGTGAACCAGAAGAGTCAGAGGCAGAGCAGTCTGTTGAATGAAAATTTTGTGGTCGGTGAGGTTCCTGAACACGTCAGAGCTTGGTGTAGACTCACTAGTGTGAAATGGCGGATGTCTAGAACAGCAGTGCAATCCTACACCAGAGAGAGGTAATGCAGTGAATGCATACAGACAAAAAGTCAGGATTCTTTAAACAATATTACACCTACTTACTACTTACTTAGTAAGTTACTTACTAACTTACTACTTACTTACTACTCAGACACAATTAGAAACAGCTGAGGAAGGATGTGGTTGAAAGATTTGTGTTGAACCTGTAAACTTAAATATTACATTGACTTCAGTATCAGTATGAGAATGTTACTGTAATTGCGGTAATTTCCATTCGTATAAGGAAAAATGTTGATGTTTGACTATAGAAGTTTGAACACATTATAAAATAACACTGCATTATTAAATAACCCGACAGAATGTAATACATTTTAACTTCATCATGTAATTACGTCTGCACTTTGTAACAATCTGCTGGATTTTGTAATAAACAGCATGAATGCAAGATGTAATACATTTCCCCACTTTTGTAATAAATGATTACATATTGTGGTGGTGTAGTTGTGAAAATGTAATAAAAATTGTAAATGGATGTATGTCTTCATCTGTACATGTCATATTTTTAACAGTTAACCTAAATTAAACTTCCCAAATATCAAATTAATCTCCTATGACCTGTGGCGCCCCCCTTGGCGTTGAAGTTGACTATTATTTCCAGCAGGAACGACTACCGCAATGGTCCATCAAAAAACCACAATACTTTATTACAGAATGTGGGGAAAATGTTTTACACATTGGGTTCCGGCTGTTTATTACAAAATGTAACAGACTGTTACAAATTGCAGACGTTATTACATAATGAAAATGTATTACATTTTGTCGAGTTGTTACATAATGTGTTATTGCAGAACTTTTCACTACACTTCAGATGCTTTTGTTCTGCCTTTGTTATTGGGGCTCCACTGTCACTAGCTGCAGGTTAAGGCCGGTTAAGACGTGTTACTGAAGCACTGTACATTTTTGAGGTATTTCCATTTTCCAACTACGATTAACTACTTCAGTACATTTCAAATGGAAACACTGTACTTTTTATTCCACTTTATTTGATAACGTTGACTAGTAACTTTGCTGATTCACAAAATTATTTATGATCATTAGCAAAGGTTCAGACTTTATCAATCACCAGCTATAAAGTAATTAAAATAAGCCAAATCTTCACCAGCTCCAACATTTGTGTGAAGAGATAATTCCAGCTATGGTAGAATATATGTAATATAGTATGTTAATAATGACTGCCTTTAGTAATGATAAACATGTTTATACAGGCTTAATTATTTTGTCGATCCCCTTCCTGGTAACTGGGAATACTGGTATGCCTATATTTGCATGTTCAACCATTCACTCAATCAACCCTCGAACACAGAATGATGTTGCAAAGTTTAATGTGAATATACAAAAAGCAATCACAAAACACGCACAAAAAAAAAATTGTAACAGTCTTTTCACTTTCTCACAGTCACAGTAATAATGCTTATTTTGGCCAAGACCCTTGTTTATTCAGAGAGAAGTGCTAATCTGCTCTCTTAAGGCATAAACCAAAAATATCATTTTGAGTGAAATTGTAGGTATGCATATATAAATGTAGAAATTGAGGTTATGTGGACAAACACATACATATAATATGCATGAATGCATCTCAAGTTTTTGCAGATATTAAGATACGACTACAGTTTACAGACTACTAAACAACTGTAGGGTTAATATCAAATACATAAACAGGACACTGTTAATGGTTTGGCATGTATGTGGTCCCATGTCAAAAGGAAGGTTCATGATCAGTCAAATGAAACATGTACACTCACATTGTTTTAATGTATGTAAAAAAAACAAAATTAAATAAAACAAAAGATCCCTTTGCAATAAGTTGTGTAAATTGGGCCCCATGTAACCCCATTTGAAGCCTTTGTTCCACCTTGAAAGTTTTGTAACATGAGACAACAGAAAAACATAAAAAGTACTGCAAGCTGCTGCAATTCAGCAATTTAAAATAAAACTAGCATGCACATACTATTTATATGTGTATGTATGAAGTGTGATTGCATGGGAGAAAACACACAAATAGGTCCATCTCTTCAATGGAGTGAGCTCCCCTCCCTCACAGAGGGAAACAGAACAGGACTGTCTTTGGGACAAAGAAAGAATAACACTGCAACTCTGAGTCCCCCAGTCCAGTAAGGCTAACAGCTTCAAGTGCAAATGTTGGCCATAGCCTACTGAATAAGTCTCCAAAGTGTTCAAGTGCAACACAGCTGTCAGACCATACAGAAGATGAAATCCTAGGTCTTAACACACCCTGAAGCCTTTCTGACTCGAGTCAGACAAAACTTGTAAACCGATGGAATATAGCTGCCAGTCGTTTCACCATCTATAATCAGAAGGTCCTTTGCATAAGTCGATATGCTCATGCCGACAGGAGGCTTAGAGGAGAGTTGTCCAGGATGTATTCGCCAATGCCAACAAAGTACATAACCTGTGCAATGCCGAACAGAGGAGCGATTACCAGAGCTCGACAACCAGCACCCTTCAGGAAGGCGGACGGTCCCTCCTTCCGCATGATTTTACTGTGGAGAGCGAGAGGGATGGGTTTAATTATACAAACTACTAAAAAAATGTGTATATATTGTGTGTGTGTATATATATATATATATATATATATATATATATATATATATATATATATATATATATATATATATATATATATATATATATATATATATATATATATCCACACACACACACACACACAAAAAAGGGTAGTTATGCAACAATAAATAACTCAATTTTCTTACCTCACACAATCCACAACTCCATTGTAAGTTTCCTCATTGGATCCTTTGGTCAGTGACTGCAGTCTAGTCTTCACCACTAGAAAAAAAATAAAAAATAAATGTAAGGTAATAATCCATTAACATTTAAAAAAAAAACTAAAACTAATAAACAGGGTACATGACATGCCTGATATGGCTCTTAAAACTCACCATCACAGGGGTTAACAGCCACAGCAGCCGTAGATCCTGCCACACAGCCTGAGAGGAAAGCCCAATAGAAGGGTGACGACTCCTCAGGACAGGGTTTGCCCAGTCGGTTCAGGTTGGCGAACAATGGGAAGTAGACCATAGAAAAGGGAACGTCCCTGAAAGAAAAGGAAACAAAAATGTTGATTCAGACTGAAAACCTGACACAAAACCAACTGGTCTAACAAGTTAACACGGTGTCTCTTCTCGGTGTAGAATAAGCATTTTTACCTCATTAGTGTTGCTCCCAGACCTTTGTACAGCCCCTGGATGCCCTGCGTATGGAGCAGCTCCTTTGCGATCTGGGTGGCAGATACAGCTCGCGGTGTGGAGACCACCGTGCCAGAGTTGTAGGAGCGGCTGAGCACGGTGTTGGTGGCCACAAGCTTGGTCGGAGACATCATGATTGGTTTTTTCTGCTGGGCAGCTTTGGACAAAAAGACAAAAACAAACATTAACATACACAAACAATGGGGCGGCACTGGGGCCAAGATTGGAGTTAAATGTCTACGCCGATTATATAAAATATCAAATCTGTGTTCTCCTCACCGAGTCTGCCTGCATCCTGTAGCTGTATCTTGAGCATTTCCATCGGTGTGGTGACAATGACCTGGCACATGCCTGCGCCGCAACCCGCCAGCATCTCCTTGAACACCGTCAGCCCCTTTCTGTTGAGATAGGAGAGATATTAAGCAACACAATGACACAACTGATGGGATGTTGCGTTTCCCCTCAGATGACGATGTGCTTGCTTACCCATCCTTGGCGAGGTGTTGCCTGAAGAAGTCATTAGCAGCCAGCTTGATTGCCTTCTCAGGGGTAACCAGGGTCAAATTTACAGCAGCGCCTGAGGAAAAATAAACACAGTTAGCACTGAAGTCACAATCAAGTTCTCATTCAGCACATGTACAAAAACATTCCCCGCCACTATCATTACAACATTAGAATGTAATCAGTCCATTGTATAGCTAATCTACACAGACAAGACAAATGCTCAATTAAAAGAAAAGCTTCAGTCATGATGATGGAGGGGGATTACATTAAGACAAATAACATTAAAAACATAGAAGGAAAGTTCGAAACAAGCCAAACACAAGACAAGAGATGAGATGAGGAGGGTAATGAATGTCCAGAGGAAAATGCAAACATCAAGACTATGAAGTACAGTGAGTCAGTTTACGATAACAGAGCCCACGTTGTGTGGAGAAAACTTTAAGAAAGGAAAATCTGTGTCTATGGAAAGGCTACGAGTCAGTAAGTAGGTTAATGACAACGACAGACAAAAAGAATAAAGAGATGTTAGTGAAAGGACAGACCGAATCCTTAACTATGTACTGTGTGCGAAGACTTTGGGCAACCTTAAAAAGTCATCTGTGAAGACTGTAGACCGTCTACAATAAAACATTAGTTCGCCACAGATTCATTTTCAAGATCAAACCAGAGTCTGCAGAGACACAACTCATAGTCTAGAAAATGAGGATCTATGACAAGTTGACAGGACAGTTGAGACAGCCAAATAGTTATTAACAAGTAGTCAAATTACAGAACAAATAGATGGCAAAACAAAAACGTGTGCCTATAGTTTTAAATAGAGCAATATTGTAAGAACCATTTAATGATTTGCCTCCAGCGTGGCTGCGCCTTATCGGCTAGCCTTCAATATCCCAGGGGGACCCAAGTCTGTAATATGAAAAACACAGATGCAAACAAAAAGCATTCCTCACACAAGCAGAGACCCAGACTAAAAAGGTCTCAATTTTCCATTTTCCAATGTCCACAAGATTTTTACTTTTCTACATCTAAAAAATGTTAAAATTAACTGATAATTAAACAGGACATGTGTCTTCTTAGTTACTGCATGAAATGGTATAAAAAATGTAAAAAAAACACCAGAGCTTAAAGCTGCAAAACCACTTTGCATGATAACAGCTTTGGCCACTTCATCATATCTATAAATCTTTAATAAAATCAAGCAACCCCTTGAACTCAAAATACACTGTATCTGAACCCTCACTAGTATGCACCCATTTGTAATCATGTAATCAATGTTCAGCACACAAAGAGCTTACCCCCTCCTACATTTAATCCTCTCTATGTGTTCTAGTCTACTGCTTCTTAATATTCAGGTGTGTGTAAATCTTACCTCTGTACATTCCAAAGTAACCCTCTGATCGAACTGTCTTGACAAGGCAGTCCATCCTACAGAACAGGAAAGAAAGGAAAATGTTACAACGTGAAACATTTGAGGTAGCTGATTGAAAGGAAACATTTAAATATTGTATATTAAAAAAAAAGGGGGAAAAATGTCAATTTATGTATCACAGTGACGGTTTAACAAGAGCCAGGGTAAGAGAATAGTGACGGCTGTGGGGAAACATGGATGCTGAGAAGGTAAGTGGAGCAGTAAATTTCCAGCCTTCGGAGGCATTTGGACCACCTCATTGGAGAGGAATGATAATAGTCATCATGGTCCATCAAGTCAGGAATGTCCCTACTTCTGTCCTGCATGTGTCGT